AAAACTCAGTGTCCACATCAACCGCTGAAGCTGAATACGTAGCCATTGGAAGTTGCTCTGCCTATGTCCTTTGGATGAAAAACCATCTTAACGACTACGATCTTCAGTTTTCAAAGATTCTTATCTATTTAGCACAAGTGCTATTGCTATTGCTATTGCAAACAACCCTGTACTTCACTCCAAGACCAAACATATAGAGATCAGATATCGTTTTATTAGAAATCATGTTATGAATTGTGATATTGAACTTCACTTTGCTCCCACTGATTACCAACTCGCTGACCTTTTCACCAACCCTCTTGATGAGACAAGATTTAACATCTTGATCAGCGAACCTGGAATACTAAGCTGAAGATTAATTTCTTTCAGCTATAAGCATCAATCAGTAAGTGAAATGATTCAATGCTCTCATTCTATCCTTGAACTTTTGAGTAAATGTATCTACTCTCTCTAAGGTATGTGTACTCGCTCTTCTTCTTTAAAACTTAAAACTATCACTGAAGCTTTCCTTCTTCAGTGATCAAAACGTTTTAAAAGGTTGTTTCAGTGATTCCTTCTATCACTGAACATTTTTAAATAAGTATATCTCTTTTATAGTTATCTTTTCTTAAAATCAAAATGATCACTGAACCTTTCTTCTTTTAGTGACCCAAATGATTTAAAAAGATAGTTTCGGTGTTTCTATTATCACTGACTCTTTTATGGAAATATATTCTTCTAAGATATTTTTCTTTCTTAAAACAAAACCATCACTGAAATAGTTAATGAACCGTCTTTATGACGACATTCTCTGTTACCAATACGAGTTGCTTTGAGACGTGAGTACCATTCTGACACACACAACCTCCTCCAACTTCCATCCAATCGTGGATGAGAACTTGCCATCTTTTTCATCCTGGCGTTTCCTCAAAAGTCGTATTTTCCTGTCTCCTATTTCTTTTCACTCTCCTCCTACCATAAAAATCTTTGACGAACCTTTGCCGAAAAGAACTTGCAAGCTAGAATTACCTAAGAACCCTCAAAACTTTCGACCTTTTCTTCTAACAACTCTAAGATCGATACTTCTTAAATATTTTGAACTGTTCTTCATATTCTTCTAATAAAAATATGTTTGTTTCTTTAAGAACCTTGTTTTTCTTTTAAATACAACCATTAAGATTATAAACACATTCTTTTTCTTGATTATAATCTAAAGTTTCAAAAACACTAATCTTCTTGAAAACCCTAATATCTTCTTTGTGGATTTTTTTCAAAAGAAGTTTATTGTTCTAAAACTTAAAAAACTCACATTCTAATCTTGGACTACTAACAAAACCTATTATTTCTTATTTCTTATTTCTTATCTTTAATAGAAGGGCCGCCAAGAACGTGAACTTCTTTGTTGAAGACGTGACCTTCAAGGCAAACAAGCACGTCGCCTTGTTGGACGTCCCTTCCAACAAAACCTTTATTTTTGACAGAAAAATAAGGAGATGGCTCCATGATAGTTTCTACGATTACATGGATTATACCTATTTACACGATCTTGATTCGCGTAGAAATTCCGCATTTACGAGGATGTTCCTGCCATCCTTAAGATGTAACCTATCGCTTATGCTCTTTCCCATGAAGCCGTCATGGTGAGGAAGCCCTTCAGCAATTCTGGATGACCGCTGAAGTGGTGCAGGACACTGACAAAAATGGTCAACAGGTGGAGAAAATCTCCTTCACTTTCAATCGTATGACCGTCAACTTTGGTGTGACTACGGTAAGGCACGCTCTTCGATTTGCCAAGGGTCGATTCGCTAGCGATCCTTCAACAGAAATCATCATCGCCTGCCTTGATGACATTTGCTATGCTTGGCCACTAAAGAAAGACTCCAATGAACCTCTCACGTCACTGTAAAAATCGAGAAGAACCGTATGTTAGCGGTGTGGCAATACCTCTTCTCACACTTCATCCAGAGCATGGGTGGAAAGACTGGAGGTCAAGATCAGGCCTCGAGGGTTGCCCTCACTATCGGCGTGTTTGTCATCCGCCGCCGACCCATCAACTATACGGCTGTGATCTTCGACTACCTAGCGCTGAAAATGAACAAGCACCAGGGGACGAAAGTCCTTCCCTACACCAGATTCCTTTCAATGGTGTTTGCCAAGATGTTTGGCGATAAGTACTCCAAGGAAGGTAACCTTCCTCTCTGCAAGCTTGGATCCAGGATTCTGGATCATAAGTTGTTAGATGGAAACATTGGACTTTCTGTTGTTGTCCAATCCTCTTCAATTGCTCCTTCTTCTTCTCCTTCTAAGGTGGCTAAGACAAAGAAAAATCCCCTTCTAAGTCTAACCCAACCACCACAACCCTCTCGTACAAACGCCCATCCTTTCAACCGACTCTTGGTTCTCCTTCGAGGGCCAAGAAGGCCAAAAAGGGGATAACCACGTCTCTGGCTATGACCTTTCAAAAGGTCTCAGCTATTGAAACTAGCCTTACCCTCGAGGCACTTTCAGCTATCCTTCAGAGCTCTTCAGTGATATCTGAAATCACTGTCATACCAGTGGCTCGTATCCCAACCGCCTCAGTGACCCAAATCAATGAAGGTTAGAATATCAGCATTGCCAATGCTGACCGCTCACGACCATCAGTCTCAGCCATTTTCTCCTCCCCTCTATCTTTGGTCTCTACACGTGTTTATGACTCATCAGCGACTGTCCTCACTGATGATGAAACACCCACCACTGGACCTGAGATTGCTTCTCTCGAGGCATATCAACAAATAGGCGCCTATCCTCTCAAAGGCACCTCTGAGTGAACCGGCGTTAATCCTTTAGATAATGCTAAAGAACCCTCAAGTACTCCATCTTCCTACCCTTTCGTTTCTACTAATCTTGAGCTTTCTTATGCTCACCTTTGTGACATTTCAGGTCCTTTTATAGTGAGGCCAGCCATGGAAGATGAGTACAACATCGTTGAAGACATAAAACTACTCCTCCTTCCAGTCGAGACTGTCCTCAACAAAATGGACGAAGTCCATAAGGGCATGCCTCAAAGGGACGAAGTAGCTGCTGACCTCTTTGTTGTCCGGGCTGAAGTTCAAAAGGTCAAGGACTAGCTCTCAATGATGACGGTGATTGTACAAGCCAACGTTGAGGCTATCGCTGCTTTAACAAGTAATACCGATGAAGCGAACTCTCATCTTGCTAAGCATACGGAGTTGATGCAGCAAATCTTTGTAGCTCTCCAACAGCCAGTTCTAGTACCTAAACCTTCGTTCACTGCTCAAAACTGGGACCAGCTCAATCAGACGTGTGAGGCAGATGTTCTCCTCCCCCGCGCTATAATTAGAGTTGAAGAGATGATGGTGCTCTAGATCCGAACTGTTGACCACTTCTTTGACTATTGCACTAAAGTCATTGCCCAATAGGGGGAGACAGAATCCAAAGTTGCTCCTTCGAATGCTGTTGCTGCCACTAGACCTTCTGTTGTTCCAGCAACAAAAGCTGAAGCTGAAGCTGAAGTTGCTGATGAAAACCCAACTTCTTGTCAAGCTTCTGTAGCTGAAGATGTTGATGTCATCCGAGCTGGCGCTGAAGCTCGTGACGATGATCTTCCAATTACCTCTACGGCCAATGATGGTGATATGGAAGATGATGATGAAGAAGACGGTGAATCTCTCGACCTTCCTGATGCTGGTGAAGACCTAGATGATGATGATGATGATGATGACGACAATGATGACGAGTTCACCATTCAGTAGCAGAGACTCGTCGTGCCACGAAAGGTGTCTCTCTCAAGTATTCTACATCCCAGGGGGAGCAAGGGGAGAAAGAGGGGACTCAACCAAAGAACCAGAACACCAAGTTGAAAGACAAAGGTATTGCTGAAGAAGTAAACCTAAAGGTACTATTCCAACCTCTAGAATCCTTAACAAATGAGTCCTCAAAACTTATCACCATAACAAATGGGTCCCTGAAAATCCATCCCAAAGCGCTCCCACCGACCAGTAGATGTCTCAGCTGAGGGAGTCGCTCGACCAAACTAGAGTAAAAATTCCTCTTCGTACCTCTAGTTGTGGTRAGTTCGACTTCTTGTCAGAAGCTGAAAGACTCGAGGCACTCAAGGCCGAGGAAGAACTAAAAATTCAACGTCAACAGACTGAGGATAGCTTAAAGTTGGCCAAGTCTCTAGCTACCAAAGTTCTTCCAAGGAATAAATCCAAAAAGTTGGTGAATGTTGTCAAAGCTCAAGCTAAGCTTCTTTCTCTTACAAAAAAGATGAACGTGAGAAAGCACTGATGCTGGCCGACCACGACCGAAAATGGAGCAAAGATTGCATAGACAATAGAGTAAGTGCTCACCCAATTTCAAATGTCACCATCAACGGACGGATGAAAGATGGTGGAGTCCTGATCTCGATGCTTATAACCAGGGATAACCTTGACGATGTCACCGAGTACCCTTCCTACCTCGAAGAGTATGGATACAGTGAATGGCTGAAGAATATCTGCCAAGCCATTCATCGCTCAAAATCAAGACATAAGTCAGCTATCGAAGATATCATCAGCGAGCTGAACAAGAAAATGTCAAGGTATGTCGCTGTCCCTGAAAAACCTACTCTGAAGAAAGTTGAAAGAATAAGACCTTCAAGCCATAATGACGGACCATCCTTGAGGAATGAATATGAAACAAAGTTCTGCTTAGATGAAGTCCTGAAGGATACGAAGCAGCCAAACATTTCTATGTTTAACCTATCATTGCTAGCGAAGGGTCCTTACATACCCAACAYTGTGCACATCAAGCATGAGTTAGGATTTATCTTCCTTGACTATGAATGTGAAGTCTACTGCCAAAGAATGTTTGAGTTACATTTTTACCCAATGGAACATCTCACATACATCTGATATTGGCTAAATGATTATATATATGGTGACACAATGGACATCAGGATTAGAAAGGAATTATGACGTCGAAAGGAGCTTGGAGAAGAAGTACCTGGCTACATCAACCTGAGAAACTTAGATTAGTTATTTCTATCTTGTAAATTGTCATTCACTGTATATCTTTTGTATTCTATGTCGACTTTCAGTGTTCAACTTATATATTGTAATCCTAAGAAATGTACTGAAAAACTTCTAATATTTCCTTTGAATTAATATAAGTGTTTCGTTTGCCTCACTAAAAAAGATCCCTGAAAAGAGTAATAGGGACACATGTCTATGAGTTTCGGTGTTCTATTACATTCACTTACAATCTATAAGTCAGTGAACATGCCTTCAGTTTCAGTTTTCCTTCTTGTACTTTTTCTTAAACTTGTAACTTATGAAAATTTATTAAGCAAAAAACTGACTCATTGAAAAAGATCCCAAAACAGCTAAAAAGGACGTATTTTATATGTAACTTTTTATTAATGTTATTTGAAAAAGCAACTTTCTTTATGTTGCTTTGTTATCACCAAATAGGGGGGATTGTTGATCCTCTCTCTCATTGATTTGATGATAATCCCTTTTACCTTTTATGCAGTATTATATTTCTGTCTTTCAGTTCCAGGAATCATCACTGAGTATGTTCAATGATTGCTGAAACATACATTGTAAATCCTACAGCGATAGCAATACTTTAAGAAGACAAAACTCACACCAAAGAACCTTCAGCGAAAGTTGAAGACTGAAACTGAAGATTAGTGACCAGCAAGTTTGTGATCTGAAGCAACATTAAGTGATTACAACCTGGTCAACATATGTGTGAAGACTGCCCAAGCCTCAGCGATTGCTGAAGAGACCTTCAGGGTTATTTCAGCATTCAGCGATCAAAAGAAGCTTGTTGAGCAAGATTGTTTTTGTCTTGTTCTTCCACACACAAAGGACAAACCCATACCCTTTCTAGAGTGTAGTACGGTATGGAGTTCATTCGTTGAATCTATTACCCAACAACTCCATGAAAGGATGTATGCTCATGCATATGCTTTTGTACTACTCACTGTAGCAAAGGACAAGCTTTTCTCTAAAAGATTGATGCTTGTTCAAACCCTACTACATTGCATTGAATGTGCATTTAATGCAATGGGTATAAATAGATGTGTGATATCTCCATGTAGAGACATTACCTTAACCTAATACTTATGTTCATACATGAAAGAACACACACATCTAAGAACACTTACGCTTATCTTCAAGCAAGTTAGAATCCCTCTCAAAGTATCTAAAAGTTCTTACCCAGAAAGAACTTAGTTCCTTCTTTAAATTTCGGCAAATCTTTCCTCTTTGCTAAGAATATTTGTGTGTCAACTTAGATAGGATTTTCTTTACCTAATCTATTTCTACATACAATCTTGTAAAAATCTGTATTGGTCTTTTTTTAGAAATATATATTTTTAATTTTGAAAGTTTACTATGTTTGTATTCATCCCCTCCCCCTCTTCTACAAACAGTTTTTATAAAACTCTTGTAGACCCTAACGGGACCAAGAATTTTATGTTTCTAGAGCTTGAATCCAGAGGGCGAGAATGTTAGGTTCAATGTTTTGAGCTGAAAGTTGTATTCGAGCTTTTTATTCTTTTGTACTTCCCTTATATAAATAAGTTTCTAGCTTTAGATTTTGTAGTAACTTTCATCCTGTAACTTTGAGTATTGTAATCATTTTGGAAGATCAATACATTTGAACTTTGAAGATTTTCTCTCTACTTTTCTACTCTCCAAGTTCTACCATTGCTAAGTTTCTAAAATCATAAATTATTATTTTTAACAACCCACATATTCTATGTACCGATAATCCACATCATCATACTCATAACACAAAATATAACATCATTTACAAAATACAGATTAACAAAATACTTTCTTATAATACATTTATCATAAGTAAACGTCAGTCATTCTAAACTTTTCCCTTGCCTTTATCTTGCGAGGTATGATCACCTGCAAAACAGGTTAGTCCAACAACTGAGTGTTAGACCAAAAAGGTCTAGTGAGTGTATAATTCTCAAACAAAGAATATACTTCCCAAACAATCAGTTCAGAATCAAACCTGTTCTGACACATAAACTTATTTATGTCTCTCGTGGTTACACCGCCATTACATCTCTCTCGCGGTTACACCGCCATTACATCTCTCTCGCGGGTTACATCTCTCCCACGGTTACACCGCCGTTACATCTCTCCCGCGGTTACATCGCCATTACATCTCTCACGTTTACATCTCTCCCGCGGTTACACCGCCATTACATCTCTAAAATGATTCAACATATTAACCAGATTTAATGTCCGGTCAGCCTTGTCCGGATATAGAATCCGGACAAACACTTGGAATATAACAAGGGTTATATCATCTCCGGTCAAGAATCCGGATAACACCTTGTATAAGCTTTGTCC